TCCTCATGGCTTGGCATAAAGAAGTTTAGTCAAGTTATGGGTTAGATCACAATTCCTTTCTTCCTAGATGACCTGATGACAGTTGGCAATCATACTGTCACTCTCCCTAGCAATGGCTGCATGCACATCTCTTCCCAAGGTGTCAGGTTTACTCTGATTTATTTAGCCTTGGCTGGTGAGAGCATAAAGATGATCAAATAGTGCCCATCTCTCTGAGAGTGTCCCAGGCAGCACACTCCCACATTTTAGGAAAGCAGGACCCTTGATAGGAAAGGTAGTTGCATTCAGGGGAATAAAAGGTTTGTAGTGCCTTTGGGAGGGCGTTGAGGCGGTAAACCTTCCAATTCCAGTTCGGGACAATGACTGCTAGCTCAAAACATTTTTTTTTTTTTTTCAGTAGGGACATCGTGTTTGTGTGTTTGTATTTGGGAATCTCGCATTTCTGATGTGGATCTCTGTTTCTGGGTTGGAGCCTGACATTCTGCTTGAGTCTGTTTTTTTATTGCAAAGCTATGAAAGCTGCTGAGATCTGACTCCATCACCTTTGCCTCCCCACCCCACACAGGACATAAGCACATGATCTTCAGTCTTTTATTTGCATACTCTACTAGTCCTGTCTTCATTGGAGGGAAGTGACTGGCCAGACCTGGGCTGTCTTGCTGGCTGCCTTCCTTGCTGGGCTCCAACTTATCTCCTATGTACACAGCTCTTGGAGTTCAGAGGCCCCTGCTGACCTCTGCCCAACCTCTCCTCTGCACCCAAGCCCCCAATGGTACATACAGGAGCAGAGGCAGGCAAGGACTAGGAGACAAGAGAGAGGCTGGAGACAGGCTGCAAAAGGGCTCAGAACCCCAGCACACCTCCCTGTCCCAAATCTGTCCACCACCTGCTGTGGCCACAGCAAAAGAAGAGAGAGCTAATAAGACAGAAAGTAAGGCCCGGTACCTTGTGGACAGTGGTGTCATTAGCTGCAACGCCTAAGATGTCTCAAGAGATGGGAGAGCTCACCCAAACCAGATTGCAGAAGATCTGGATTCCACACAACAACGGCAACAGCAGGCTGCAACGGAGGAGGGGCTGTAAGTGGGGTTTGCTTCTGTGGGCTTCAATGTGGTGGTGGTAGAATGGGTGTAGAAGATTAAAGGACATGGCCCCTTGTCCACCCCCACCCCCACCTGAAAGTTGGAATAGGTGAGCAGCTGGATGAAATAGCTGTAGGGCAACAAGATGCTAATGTCAAAAACAGAGAATGAAGGAGAGAAAGAAAGACAGAAAGAGAGAGGTGAATACAGAGAAAGAATGATGGTTATGTAAAGACCATCTTAATCAGAGGGATTATTGACTAGGAATTTTTTCTTTTATCCAGAGCCTATTTGGAATACTTCTTGTTTGAAATCTGACAGTTCTAGATCAGTGCTAGCCTAAATATTTTGGTGACCTCAGTGAAATGTCTGGAAATTTGTACTGTCTGATAGCGCTTGGGTGAAATAAAGTTCTTGGCATTGTTTCTTAGAGGACAGGTGCTGGGTACACAACAGTTCCATATCATTGGTCGGTTTTGCTCCTCCCCTTTCTCAAGCCTCCTTGAGAAACTGGGTTTAACTGGGTTGGAAAAGGCTGGGTGTCCTGCCTAACTGGGTTGGAAAAGGCTGGTGTCCTGTCTCCTGCATTGCCTTCATGGCACATATGGACACATTTGCTGCTCTAGGAATTTGAGGGAGAAGACACCCAGGGAAAGACTACTGGTGTAATGTTCACTTTGAAAATTTAAAAAAGACTAGGGTCAAAAGGGGAAAGCAAACAAAACCTGTAAATGCATTTTTAAAGTAGATTATACCATTTCCCATAGATAACAGGGGACAGTTTGCAGATCAAGGTGTTTCCAGCCCAAGAATTTTGACCTGAGGAGCCATAAGGTGGGTGGAGATAAGACAGCTATGTACTGTGGGACCCAGACATTTTAAGGACCAGCTGACCGAGCTTCCACTATGCTAACGCTAGAAGAGGTCCAGGCTCACAGCTAGTGAGAGGAAGAGCCACGAAGATGTAAGATGTTAAATATACTATGTAGAATGGAGGGTATGGATGGAGGAAGAGAGGGAAAAAACCTAGCCTTCTGTTCTTCCTTTTCCTCTCCATCAGCAGTTTCAATCACTCATCTGGAGATCAAGGATCCTAGATGAGACTGAAAATTACATCCTACCCTCACTCACCAAATCACTTTTATTCCTTCTAAGGGGCTATTGGGTTAAGCTGGCAAGCAGGCAAGCCACTCTTTGCATACCTGGGTCCTCTATAGTTAGAGCCCTTATATTCCTGGGAACTCTTGTCTTTCAGTTGGAGAAATAATATACATAAATCACATAATATAGTCTCTGTCATATAGAAGATGCAAAATAAATATGCATTCACTTTATTTTAAGAGCTTATCTCTCCTCAGCTATAAGACATAATTAATACCTACTTCCCCATGTTGTTGGGGTGTTCAGTGATTCAGACTGCCTAGCTTTGAGTCCCAGCTCTGCCACCTCCTGCCTCTGTGACCCTGGATGTCTGGACCCTCTTAACTTATCTGTGCTTCCATTTCCTCATTGGTAAAAAGAAATTAGTAATAGTGTAGTGAGGATTAGAAAGCTAAAACATATAAAATGCTTAAAAGAATGTCAAGTAAGTACTCAATGTTACTGTTATTATTTAAATAAGAAGGTAGGTGTGTGGTCTTTTGCCCATCATATCCCCAGCGTCAAACCTGAAGCCTGGCACATAGCAGATACCCAGTAAATAGTAACTCTGTGCTACGTCCACTCTACCCTCACCATAGCAAAGCATGGGGATCTGTGTGTACAAGGTAGTGACTCACAAGTGATTGACTGAATTATGTCAGACCACAGATGTAATAAACTTAGTGACCTGGGGGTGGTAGAGGTACACAATTATTTAATGACTATTCTGAGGATTAAATTCATTAGTGTGCAAAGTTCTTGAACAACTGTGTATATTCATCTGTGACTTTTTTTTTCTCATTCAACATTATATTTTGTGCCATCTATAATATTGTTGCATGCAATTGCTTATTCTCTTTGCTGTATAATATTATATTTTGCAAATATCCCATGATTTATTTATCCATTTTACTGTTGATGTATATTTATATAATTTCTAGTTTAGGGTTATGAACAATTACACAATGAAAATTTTTGTCCCCATAAATTTTGGAATCAGTTTTTCAAACTACACACACGTACATACAACTTTTGGTGTTTTGATTGGAATTGGAATTACAGTCAATCTATATATCAGTTTAAGGAAAGTTAACATCTTTGTGATAGAGTCTTCTGTAAATATGGTGTGTCTCTATTTAGACATTTTTATGTTATTTGAGTGAAGTCTTATAATTTAAAAGGGCTTATGTGTCATTATAATTTTTGTTTATTGTGTTGCTATTGTATACCTTTATAGAAAGTTGCATTTTATACCAATTTATTTCTAATGTATACAACTATAATTGTGGGGAGTTTGTGTATTGCATTTGCAACCAGCAAACTTGATAAACTTAATTTTGATAATTTATATGTAAATGACAGCTCTCTTTTTTCCCTTCCAATCCTTACTTTTTAAAAATCTCTTATTCTTATATTATGTCACTGCTAGGACCTACTAACTTCAAAACATGAACACCAATGTCAATAGAAATGTTAATATTACTCATGTTTATGTTGGACTTAATTTTAAAGGTAATGTTTTTAAAGTTTCACCATTGAGTAAGTTTGCTGTAATTTTTTTGTACATGCCACTTAACAGGTTAAGGAAGTTCCAGTTTGTTCTTTGTTTGAAATAGGATTTTTTAAAGATGAGTAGATATTGAATTTTATAAACATGTTTTCTGTGTCCACTGAGATGACAGATTGGTTTTCTGTTTTAATCTGTTAATGTGAATTACACTAGAGATTTTTCTTGTTTTTTATCTGTCTTGCAGTCTTAGGATAAATAATACTGAATTTTGTTCATTAATATTTTATTTAGGGATTTGGCATTTTGTTTATGAATGAGATTGACCTGTACTTTCTCCATTCTCATTGTTCCCTGTTTGACTTTTGAGTCATAAAATGAAGTGGGAACTATTCCCTTTCATTCTATTTTCTGACAGAGGTTAACCAAGGAACTATTTGTTCTTTAAATATTTGGCACAACTTCCAGGTAAAAACATCAGACCAGGTGTTTTCTTTGTAAGAAAAAAATTGATACAATCTTTTGAATAATTATAGAATCATTCAAGTTTGTTATTCCTTCTTGTCAGTTTTGTTAAATTATGTTTTTTAGGAATTTTTCTATTTCACATCACTTTTCAAATTTATTTGCATAAACTTACATCCATATTTTTAAAATCTCTATTTCATTTGCAATTATATCCTCTTATCCTTGTTTATTTGTACCTTCTTTTTTTATTCTTGATCAATATTGACAGAAGTTTGTCACTTTTGTAAATTTTTTTAAATAGTCGACTTTTGGCCTACTGATTCTTTCTGTTATATCTTTGGCTTTTTATTTAGCCATTTTCCTCATCATTATTCTTTTTTTCTACTTTCTTTGGACTTATTCTGTTTTTCTTTTTTAACTTCTAGGGTTGGATGCGCAGCTTATTTATTTTCAGACTTTCTTCCTTTTGAATATAAGCATCTGATGCTGTAATTGTCATATTAAACAGATTGGTATTCCACAGATGCACATTTGTATGGACATATGAATTTTTAAAGTATTTCCAGACTATTTGGTAAATAGACACTGCTCAGGGCTTTCTTAGTTTCTCTATCACTCAGTTACCCTGGCCACCTCAGTCCCTTTCTCAGGACTGCTAAGACCTATAGACTTATCATCTAACAACTGAAGAGTTAATGCCTGACACAGAAGGCGTCCTCTAGAAATTGGTGCCAAACCCTTGGGCCAGCTTCTGTTTTGCTAGATCAGTGCCCTTACCATTTCCAGTCTGATTCCATCCTTCTTCAAGAACAAACTGTATGATTTCAATTCTTTGATATCTATTGAGATTTGCTTTATGGACCGACATATGGTAATTTTTGGTAAAAATTCCATGAGCACTTGAAAAAAATATACATTTTACAATTCGATTAAGAATACTATATACTTCAATTAAGTCATATTTGTTGATCTGGCTCAAATGCTCTATATTCTTCCAGGATTTTGTCTGCCTGTTGATATGAAAAATTTGTTAATGTCTCCTTGTAACTATGTCAATTTTGAAGCTTTGTAAATAGCTACAAATTTAGAATTGCTACATATTTCTAGTAAGCTGAATATTTATCAACGTGTAAGGAAGTTTATGCTAATTTAGTATAATTGACATTTTTGTCCTACAATTTTTTTCTGATATTATTATATGTATATTTACTTTATTTAGCTCTATATTTACCTGGTATATCATTCATACACTTTCAAATAATGTTTTTGCCATTTTAGTGAAGTGTAGTGAACTTATAATGTTGTGTTAGTTTAACTGTGAGCAATTCAGATATATATTCTTTTGCAGGTTCTTTTTCATTAGAGGTTATTATAAGATATTGATTATAGTTCCTTGTGCTATACTGTAGACCCTTGTTGTTTATCTATTTTATGTAGGGTTGCATATATTAATTCCAAATTCCTAATTTATCTCTCCCCTAACTCCCACTATCTTCTTTGGTAACCATGTTTCTTTTCTGTGTGTAAGTCTATTTCTGTTTTGTAAATAAGTTCACTTATATCATTTTTTTAGATTCCACTTATAAGTGATATCATATGATACTTGTCTTTCTCTCTCTGGCTTACTTCACTTAACATGATAATTTCTAAGTTCATCATGTTGCTGCAAATGGTATTACTTAATTCTTTTTCATGACTAACATTCCATGGTATATATGTATCACATCTTCTTTATTCATTCATCTGTTCTTTTTTTTAATTCATCTGTTGATGGACATTTGGGTTGCTTCTGTGTCTTGGCTATTGTAAACAGTGCTGCTGTGAACATAGGGATGCATGTGTCTTTTCAAATTAGATTTTTCTCTGGGTTTATGCCCGGGAA